ACTCAACTGAACTCCGAGTCCTATATTAAATTGCCTAACTTAGTCTCACCACTTCAATGTCTTAAAGAATCTTAAATTTAAAAGGTCTAAAACCAAGTTCCTACCCTCCACCCCCAAGCCCATCTCCCAACAAAACATGCTCCATCCACTATTTTGCTTGTCAGGTGAGGCCAATTCCATACTTAGCTGGGGCCAAAAACCTGGAGAGCCTTAACTCCTCTCTCTCACATCACAACTATCTATAAAACTTGATCATTTTTCACCACTTTCGCTGGTCATCATCATCTTTCACTTTCTTTACGTGGCTTTCAGAAGACGATAACCCCATAACTAGCCACCTGACTTCTTGCTTCTACTGCATCCCTTACAGTCTATTCCTAATAAAGCAGTGAAAGTAGTACTGAAAAAAAATGGAAGCCCAATGTCACAACCCTGCTCCAAACCCTCCAGTGGTTCCTTATCTCCCACAGAACAAAAGCCAGCCTCCCCCAGATGGCCCACAGGATCTGACTCCCCATTCTTTTCTGATCACCACCTACACTGCATGTCCTACCATTTTCCTCTTTTTCACTCAGCTCCAGCCACAGTGGCCTCCAGGAGAAGGACAAGAATGCCTTATCTCATCACCCACTACACACACACACACACACACACACACACACACACACACACACACATATACAGGCATACACACCCCAGAATATTTTCATTTTTGATCCTTCTTCCTGGAAATGTTTACTAGAGGTCTGCATAGCTTGTGCCCTCACCTCCTTTAAATCTTTTTTCAAATGATGCCTTCTCCAAGAGGCCTTCCTTGACCACTTATTTATTTACTTACTTTATTTTATTTTTATTTGAGATGGAGTTTCACTCTTGTTGCCCAGGCTGGTGCAATCTCAGCTCACTGCAACCTCCGCCTCCTGGGTTCAAGCGATTCTCCTGCCTCAGCCTCCCGAGTAGCTGGGATTACCGTCATGCGCCACCATACCCGGCTAATTTTATATTTTTAGTAGAGACGGGGTTTCTCCGTGTTGGTCAGGCTGGTCTTGAACTCCCGACCTCAGGTGATTTACCTGCCTCAGCCTCCCAAAGTGCTGGGATTACAGGCGTTGGAATCGCCCCAGGGCCTGGGAGTGGCCTCGCGAGGCCGGCGCGCGCCCCGGGCCGAGGAATCTGCCTGCCCAGCCAGGCGTCGGCCGCGAGAGAGCGGGACCCTCACTGGTCCCCATTTCAGGTACTCCCTTGGGGCACCTTTCGTGGTCCCACAAGATTTCCCAACAATCCAGCTTCGCAACGGCCTCCATATTTTCCCGCGCGTCTCGACCCCCGGCTCCTCCCGTGCCCCGGACCTGCTCAGATGTCTCCCAAGGCTATTCATCAGGGAGCACCCCAATCCCGGCCCGCTCCGCCCGGTGCCCGCGGCCCCTCACCTGTAGAAGGCCGCGTTGACCCTCTTTTCGCTGGGGAAGCCCAGCATCCCGCAGACCACGTGGCTGTTGTGGGCGCTCCAGCCTTTGTCGCACACTTGCGACCAGCCGTCAGGAAGCCTGACTTCCACCAGCCCCTCCGTCACGGGCAGGGGTCGTCTGCCCCACCCAACGGCGGGTCGAATTCGCACCTCCTCCACTTGCAGGTGATGCTCTACCTGGGGGCGGGGCCACAAGCAGGGAAAGAATCCCAGTGGCACCTTTCCTGTCCTGCCACTCTTAAGGAACCCTGCTTGGTGCGCCTGCTGTAAACCCAGTGGCCAGATGGGCCCGAGGCGGCACTGAGAGAGCGGCCACAATGGCCGCAGTCCGCGGTGTGGACTCTCTTGCAGCCAGCAGCGCGGGGGCATATGCTTGCTCCCAGAGAGGATTCAGGGCACTAGGAAGGAGCACCTCCCTGTGCCTGGAGCAGGAGGGTGCACTTCAGAGAGGAAATGGCTTTGAAGGAGGAGAAAGTCAGAAGGAAGATGTCTCAGGAAAGCAGGAACCTTTGAGAAGGAGAGCACCAGGTGCCCCAGGGGTGACTAGGGATGAAGCTGGAGAGGCTCATGCCAGGTGTAGCCCCTTGAATGCGAATGCTAAAAACCCTGTTGGATTTTACAGCATCTGGGAGCTCTATCATTTGCTTTTCCAAGCCTCCCACCAATCCAAATGATCCCCCAGTGGTAACTACTTTCTAATGTCTCCCCTAACCACCCCACAGTCCTCTTGGCTATCCTGGGTGGTATGTGTGTGTACGTCTAGGAAGTGCAGACCTCAATGACATTGGAGTCTGAGAAGCCAGGGAGGCGCTGGTCCTTGCAGATGACTCCAGCATCCTCATCGTGCGTACAGTCACTGTTCCCCCAGCCCCGGGAGGCACATTCAGTCACACTCTGCTCGGTCCCACTGCAGCTCAGGTTGTCCAGCCAGATGCGGCCTGTGGAAGGGGAGACGAAGGGACAAAGAAGCTTGGGGAGGGAGGATGGGGGAGTAATGGGGATGTTGGAAAGAGTGAGTGCTGATGCCTCCCACCTGGCCATGATGATCCCATCTTTCTGGTATGATAACGGGTGGAGAAGGGACAGGGGACCCTGGCAGGGAATAGGAAGGGGGCATAAGATTGAGGGAAGTTTGGTGTGATCTGGGGGTACTCAAGAACCTGATAGGGTGAATAAAAAACCAAGAATCAACCCTGATGTTCTGATTAGTCTCTACCCATTCAATGATAGCTACAATTAATCAGGTACCTACTGCGTGCCAGGTTTTCTACCATGGTGTGCACATATGTGATCATTCTTAGAACAGAGCTGCCAGAACACCGTTTTATATAAAGAAACTGGAGTTTAGAGAAGCTAAGTAAATTGCTTAAGACCACACAGCCAATACATGGGGGCTTAGGAGTTTGATCTATCTGTGAGGCTTGGTCATCCAAGATCCTTTCATCACATCCTTGCATTCTCTTCTGTGCTCGCCCTGTCTGTGCTGCCCTTGTTCTTCTCTCTGTCCGAAACCCAATTTTTTTTTTTTTTTTGAGACGGAGTCTC